TTGAAACTTATCACGATATATTCATAGGGATATATCTGCTCAGTGCGGCCGATCGCTTGTAAGTGCTCTCGAAGTAACTACAGGATGCCACTCCTAAATATTATACTAAGACCTTTTGTAATATCATACAATTGTAAAGTGATAAAGGAGACTAAAGGCAAGATGGCCTAAATAAAAAAAAAAAAAAAATTAAAATTCTTTAACAATATTTTATCTATTTTGACTAAATAATTTTCAACTTATTTTAATTAAAAATTCATCAAATTTATCTATTATTTTTGAAAATATAATTTTCTAAAATAATTTCTTAAAATTATTTTTAAATAAAATTAAAAATTCAAAATAAAAAAATTTAATTAATTAAAGAGTTTTAATATATTTTTGTCTAATCCCAAATCCTAAATCAAATCCGATGCCGAAATCACGAACTAATGCCAAAATCACAAACTGATTCCGAAATCATATACTAATTCTGAAATCCCAAATTGATTTTGAAATCCCAAACTGCAAATTAATGCTGAAATTCCAAAATTAAGTTAGAATATATTAAGTTTTTCTATATGCTAATTTATATGATATATATTTTAGAATATACTTTAGTATTGTTTAGAATTTTGGCATCAGTTTGGGATTTTGGAATCAGTTTATGGTTTTGGTATCAGTTTGAGATTTCGAAATCAATTTTAGATTTTGACATTAGTTAGGTATTTCAGTATCAGTTTAGGATTTCGAAACTAGTTTAGGGTTTTGCAACTTATGGCCAAAACCCAAAACCTTTCGGTCTGAGAAAATAAGTTTGGAACCCAACTCTATTCATAAAGATTTTCATAGCTGTAATGATAAAATCAATATACAGTATTAGCGGTAATGTCTTATATTGCAGATACAGGATTTTATCTATAATTCTGATTTAGAAGACGACATTTTATCTTACATTACGCCAGTGTTAAATCAACAAATTCATTGATGATACGATCCTTTTTCAGACAGTTTAAAATTATTGATATCAACCTTTTTTATATTTAATGTTAATTCAACCCAAAAATCAATGAAATTCAAATCATCTTTTATTACCAAAAGAAAACTGTACAAAAACATCAATGGAAGATGTGTGCTGTTTTTTTTTTTTTTTTTAATCTTAAATCAAATCCCATTGTTTTTAATTAATGCCAATTTAAGAGATTAATTAAATCAATATTTATGAAGAACTGTTATTTGAATCCAAACATTTATTACAATCAAAACACGGTTAAAATTTAACTTTGACTGATGCTCGACGATCGACCAATCAAAAACTCGATGAATGAAAGTTTATTTCGATGTTCGAAATTTCGATTGATGTTATTCATCGATTCCACTTTCTACCAGTTTTTTCTCGAGGACCGTTCGCTCAGTCTAAAAAAAGACAAATATATTAAAATGATTGTAAACATTCTATAAACATACATCAAATGATACCTGTAAGGCTCTACACAAATTTTCTAATTTTGCTTGTTTTTTCATTGCATCATCAATAATCTTTTGATCTCTAGTTCGCTATCATACAGCAAATACGACAAAATTTTGTTCGTAACGTTTTTTTGTTTTTTTTTGTTAGCACCTCCCCTTGCATGTAAAGTTAAATAAATATGCAAAGAATAAATAGAATCATATGAAACATTATATTTGCACATGAATTATCCTAATAGTTAATGTCCTCGGTATTATTATCCTTTCGAGAAAAGTTTTAAACAAAAGCATACCTCTTCTGCCATTTCTAAGATATTTTTATTCATTGTATCGCATTTTCCTTTTATTGCCGAATTTTCCTTTTCAAGTTTCTTCGTTTTTTTGGTCATCTGGTGTATACAAACGCCTATAAGAGAAACATAAATATATCTTTTGATTGCAAATGTTATAGGACAAAATAAACAAACCTGTTCCATTTCTTTACGGAAAGTCATAAAAAGCTCATTACTTTTATTTAAAGTCTCTTCCACTTGTTTAAATTTATCAACATAAATGTTGAGTTGTTTACGTAGCTCGATCTCAGTTTTAGTAAATGTTTCCACCTGACTTTTCAAAGAATTGACCTATAAATAAAAGAATTAGATGAATTAATCACATTAGATATAGTCTCAAAAAAAGAATCAATTTAGATAAATTACTTTAATTGTCTCTTGTTCAGTCATTTGTTTTTGTTGTTGTAGCTTTGCTTCATATAATTGCAATTCCAGATCCTTGGACCGAACAACGCTATTAAAATGCTTTTCCCGGAGCTCATACTGTTCTAAAAAACTACGGAACTTATCTTTCAACCTAATTATCAATATTCATGATGTGTGAATAAATACAATTAAACTTGATTAAAAATAATAATTTTATACAAACACTTCATTATCTTCTGCACGCTTTTTTTTTTCATCGGTATCTTCTTCCATTTTAGACTTGATTTCCCAAATAGTATTTTCAAATTTACTAGACAACTCTTCCCGCTTTTGCTGTTCACTTGCAGCTAAACGTTTACTTTCTTCCTAACCATTATAACATAGATCAAAGACTTTTTTCTAATAAAATGATTTTTTTTTTTTTTTTTTTATAACAATTAACACGAACCTTAATGCGTTTATTCTCCTTTTGTAATTCACGACAAATGTTTTCTAATTTATGTTTTAAAGAACTTGTTTTTGACAAATCACTTTTCGCTAACCATAAATTTGGAGTTAAGTCGACGCGATTCAACGCAAAAAATCCATATCAATATGTCTTTGATTCTTACCTGCATCTTTTTCTTTTTGTAGTTGTTCATTACGTTTCTTCATTTTAGCATAGTCACGTTCAAGCCGTTTCATATCTTGAAACTATGTAATATCAAAAGATCAAGTTTTTTTTTATGATCAAATTACATTGATCACGTAATCGATCCTATGATTATTAAATCGAATTACGATTTAAAATTGGAAAAAAAAATTTTAAATTGTTTAATTTTCTTACCAATTCCATGTATCTTTGTTGTATTGTATCAAATTTCTCCATCTGATCATCATTTTGAGAATTGATAATTTCTTTCATTTCCTTGCTTGCCTTTTTAACAGCCTTTGCTAAATTTTAAAAAAATGATGAATTGATTCGTAATTAATTAATGATTTTCATTGGTTAAAAATGCAAATACGAGATAATTAATTAAAAATCTTAAAGCCAGATAAAATTTAAAGGGATCCTATACCAATGGATTTTTCTTCTTCGTCTTCAATCGACGATTCAGTTTCGAGTTGAGAAATTTTATTTTGAATCATATTATTAAGTTCTTGAGGATCAAGCGACTTTTTCTTAGAAGACGCGCCGTTCTTCTTGTTATTAACTGGAGAAGTAGGTGAAGTAGTCTTTGCTTTTATGACTGCCTTTGAAGGTGCAGACACTTGTTTATCATTCACGTCCGATTGAATGGACTGAACTTCATTAGCATTTTGAGTCTCAGTAGCTGGCATAACGAATTTATTTATCGTGTACGTTTCTGTAAGGTAGGCGAAGGATAAAATAAGATTCCTAAGGACAAAGCCTTATCGTTATTTATTTAAGAGCTGAAACAGGATTCTCCCTTATTTGGAGACGACAAATATATAGTGAGATCTTTGAAATATTTATGAGCCCCTCTTTTTTTTTTTTTTTAATCTATTATTATATATATATATATCAATCTATTGATTAGTAAAAAATCTATTTATAATTATTTAATTGTCTCCCGTGTGCGATTATATTCAAACTTACCTTATATACACTTAAGATGAATTGACGGAAAGGATCGGATCAAAAATGAAAAATTTAAAGTTCTATTTCCAGTCGAAAATGAATGTTTGAATGCATCAATTTTACGTTATATGTAGACCAATTTATTTCATTATTTTTTTAACCAAAATTGCCATGCTATAGCACTGAAGCGTATTTATTTGTATATTTGGCGTAGCTCAAACTTGTCATGATGATTGGATTGTTCTTTGATAAAGCGAAGCTTGATGGTGTGTCTGTCTTTGTATTTATAATATACATAATAAATAAAAAGTAGATCCACTAAGGGTTGCCGATTTAGCTCAGTCGGGAGAGCGTCAGACTGAAGATCTGAAGGTCGTGTGTTCAATCCACACAATCGGCATTATTAATTTTTCTTTTTAAAAAAAATAAAAAAAAAAAATATAATTTTTTTTAGATTTTTTAACATGATAGTTTTTAGCAAATCAAAATCTATTGTCTAAATATTATCTAATATTCCTATGAACGCTATTTCTATATACATGTACATATTTTTTTTTTTTAAAAAAAAAATTTTCTTGATGCAAAGATTTACTTTGCAATATTAATGGATTCGAAAAAAAAAATAGAATTTTTTTTTTTATCTTTGCTTTACTATCAAGCTATTTAATCAACCACATAACACATACTATACTAATTTTCACATACAAAATTGATTTTCAACTATTGTTACAGCCATCTAACAAAAAATACTTTAGAACTTTTTTTGATATTATAACAAGCTAAAGAAAAATGCTGCATATCAAAAGCGGAAGTGTCTCAATAGATAAGAAAAAATGCAATGAATTAAAAACAATAAGAAACAAGAAACGACAAGATTAATTAAATCAGAGGTTGGAAAGGGTATAAGAAAAAGAGATTCACAAAAAAATTAAAAAAGGGGAAACTTAAGTGTTAAAATGGTAAAAGGAATTTCAACATAATAGTCCACAAAAAAAAAAAAAAAAAAAAAAAAAAAAAAAAAAGAGGAAAATTTTTTTTTTTGTACATGCCGTCATCCGACTAAGTTACAATAAAGAATAAAGAAATAATGATACAAATAACACTTTTGATATGATATACAAAAAACCCCATTTAAACTAAATTAACCAATTAAAAACTGCACCATCGAATTTTTTTATACACTACTGGTAGCCTCAAGGCCTTTTCTTTGTTCATCGACCAGGTAGGGCACATTTTCAGGATTTGATTCTTGGTGTGGTTGAGATGTCGCTTGATATTGTTCTTCAGAGTTACGATAATAATGTTGTGCTTGTTGATATTGCGAAATTACTGCATTACCAGAATTATTAGGATAAAATTGGTGAGCATGGGCTGAAGGATAATGATGCTGAGTAACAGGAGTCTAAAATATGAAAAAAAAATCCATTAGGTAATGTGATATTTAATGAACCATTTTATTGAAATAACCATCCTGTTTGATACTTGGATGACTATATTTACCCATATTACCTCCACATATTGTTGTTCCAAAGGCATCACTGATGACACACCTGTTGATTGAGGTGGCTGTATACGACTGACTCCTGATGAATCTTTGGGAACAGGTGTTGTCCATGCTTGTTGAGCAGGAATGTATCCTGGAGCTGAAGTTCCAGTGCTAAATGGAGGCACTATCATATGCTGGGGATGCCAGTAACTAGGTGGTGGAAAGAATGTTGGTTGAGCGTTTTGAATTAAGTTTGGATCCACTATTGGTTGCAAAGTAGTTTGAACTGATGATGATGCACCACTTTGAGAGGAAAATGATTCTCTCCTGAAGGCAATGTAATAAAAAGCTTTAAGAATTAATAATGCTTTGGAAAAATTTATTAAATTTTATATACCAAGTTTGTTCTTACCGATCTTTAGTGTCACTATCAACACTTTGATTATCGAGATTCAACGGTTGAGTTAATAGAGGACCATTGATAGGCATATATTGTGCTGGAACCGTCGAAGGTGGTGTCTTGTGGAATTCTGTAATTAAACGTTCACCGACAATCGGTTCAACTTCAGTACCATCTCGGCTAATTTTCACTTCTCTATTCGCATTCCAAGGGTTACGAAGATGACGCGTACGCATGAATGGAAGTTTTTGCCTATTTTACGCGTAAGAACAAAACATGATGATATAGACGTGTATTTTGCGAGAAAAGATTGATTACTGTGAAAAAGAACTCACACTTTAATCCATTCAACTTTAAAAGTATTTCCCCAATTTCTCGATGGAATATTATCATCTTCACAATCTTCATTCTCTTCATCTTGAGACTTTTTTAATCTCGTTTTTATATCTTCTTGGACTGATGAAGGTCGTGATGATGAAGCTGCTAAAGCCGCTTCATCAATTGGCGTCCATTGTACATTTTCTGTTGTTTCTTTGCTAATTGGACTCACCATCCTATAAATCAATGGATTAAATATAGAACAAATTTATAATTTACAAATTCATTCAAGAATGTTGTTAATTCTCACTTTGCGTAACCATAAAATTCGCCGCTTTTATTAGCGCTGAAAATAAGAAACACGTTTTCAGCGCTCTGCGAAAATGAACGTAGAGATAATCAGTAGGTTTTTAAGTAATTATAAGCACCATATATAAAGTCAATAAAAAAATATATAAAGATTTTACCTTAAAAGCCTTGTTCAATGCTGCTTCATTGTGCGGTTGAGTGGCCCAAAAACCACTTTTAACAGAAATATCTAGATCATCTTGGGTCAACGATTTTAGAATGAAATATCTATTAACTGATGAAGGTTTTGCAGATGAAACTGACGAAGCAGGAGACATCGAAGCAACTGAAGACTGTCTGATGCGTTGTCGCGGAGGTAATGATGACCTTCGTGATCTAGAAGAAGCTGTAGAACCTGCTTCAGAAGGAGTAGGAGGAGGAGTATGATCTGAAGCCAAATCTGAAGAAGTTTCTGATTTTAACTTTAGATCCGCGGGAGTTTGCTAAGATCATCAGAAAACAAATGATATAGCATCATTATTATAAAGATAGCTAATATAAAGTTAAAATATAAATCGTTATGAAATTACCTTTCTTGGCCGACAAACAAGTTTAATGCCTTTGAAATCTAAAAGAACAAACGTATATAATGAAAAAATATTCAGCACATTTAGGAAATAGCTTAGATAATCACATACCTCTTTCATTATAATTACTAGCGGCCTGCATGACAGCTTCATGCGTCTTGTAATTCACAAATGCACAGTTCGACTTTTTGATAAGAAACACACTCTAAATATAAACGTAATAACGTGATTAATTATAATAAGATCTATAATAATAATAATAAATAATAATGATAAATAATGATAATAAATCATAATAATAATAATAATAATAATAATAACTAAATAAATAATAAATAATAATGATATATAATAATAATATATGATAGTAATATACATATCATAAGAATATATTATAATAAGAATACATGATAATAATAATAATAATATCTAATAATAATATCTACTAATAATAATGATAATAATAATGATAATAATAATAATAATAATAATAATAATAATAACCTCCATGTTTTCATCTGTGAAAAGTTCTACCAATTCTTCATGAGTAGTAGAATCCGGTAAATTTCCAACCCAAAGGGCCTTATCCAACTGTTTGGGTTTCTTTTGTTGATTCATTCTTGGAGTGTGTTGTGGACCTAAATCAGGAGTTCTGACTTGATCTAAAGAGCTTCTTCGGGAAGAAAAACCAGAATCACCACCCGCAGTACTAGAAGGGCTAAAATATCTCACAGGAATTGATGGTGGAACTAAATGAGGGTTCTGAAAAGATGGATGAATAGGAGGTATAACGGATATTGGGTGATAAGGATAAATATTCGATCTGACGAAATGTTGAGCAGATGGTGGTGGTATTTGTGGAGGACGACCAAATCTGTACTGAGGATCATAGTAACATTGTCCATTGTTAGAAAAAAAAGCAGGAGTAAAATATTGTGGTGAAACTGGTATGAAGGGAGTGTTGGCATTCAAATTTGGATACATCTGAGGCATTTCGTCGTATGCTGGCCCGGTACCATTAGAACATGGATTGTTAGAATTGTTCTGGACGGTGGTCGTATTGGAACCAGCGATAGAAGCGGAAGATGAGGACGCGGGAATACTGATGTTTGTTGTTGTCATGTTAATTAAATAACTAAATAGGGATGAATTATGGTGTCTATATATAGCAGAACGAGATTGGGTTTCAACAACCTGTGAGAATTACCGTTGACACTCTGCTTCCGAATTCCATTTTCTTGATCATATTCAGTAACGCCATTATTAACATTACTGCTACCAACGATGTTCTTTGAGCCACCCAATGGGATGTCATCCGCATCAGGAACACTGTTGGTCGTAGTAATGTCTTTCTCTGACACGCCTTGATAAGCATTTATAGGAATTGAAATGTCTTTATCCATTTTCTCACGCTGACGTCTAACTAAATTCGCCTTTATCTCCTGGCTCGAATCAGCTGTCGAGCTAGGTTCGTTTTGTGATTGTTGTCCCTGAAAACTTGAATGAGTCGAAGACGCGGTCTTTTTGGGAGCAGTTGAATTTGTGGGTATATTTTCTCGCGACTCCTTAGTTGTTGATGTCGACGCTGTCTGTTGTGATTGAACTTCAGTCAACTCCTCTCTAGACATGATATACTGTAGAGTCGTAGCGTGAAAGAAACACTTTTGAATATTGAATATTTTAATAATTATTATCCGTTTTTTTTGATATAATGATTATTTACCTTTTTAATACTTATAAACACGAACAAATAAAAAAGAACACGACTTTTGTCTATACAAAATCAATAAACGGCACTCTGACTTCCGAAATTATAAACAAAAAATTATACAAAGTAAAAAAAAAATATTTACAGAAAAAAAAAAAAGGAATTCAAAAGAAGATAGGACAAGCTTTGTTTTTAGCTTGATACCAGGTTGGCCAGACTGAACTAAAGAAAAAAAAATACAAAAAGAAAATCAAGAAACAGTTTAGAAGAGGCCAACGATAAATTTTTTTTTTCCTTGTAATGAATGAGTAGGGTACGGGCTAGCCGGATTGCTGGCCTAAGACAAATATCATAAAGAAAAGAAAAGGAAAAAATTTTTATTTGTGTTCAAGTTGGAAGTTCATTCAACGGTTGATATACAGCAGACACACAATAGACGTATGTGCGTTAACTTTATTTATAACAGTAGTCACTCTGTCTCACCTGCTTTGTATATTCTCAATTGTAAAATAATATACAATTTTATTAATCACTCACCACCTTTTATTTCTCACTCCGCGTTCATATACCGCCGAACTTCAGCAATCGCTTACTTACCCATCAATTTATTACATACGTATGTACGTATGTAACAGAGACTATCTTATTATATAAACCTTGACAGACAGCAACTTAATTAATCATGGGCCAGATTATAATCTCCGCAAATCAATTGAACTCAGAAATAATTTCTTTAAAAAGGGTTTTTATTTTGTAACTTTGCATGAAAATAATAATATTATTTCTTTTTTTTTACTATCGTTGGACCGAAACAAAAATATTTGAATCACAATTAAAGAGATACAAATGCATAATAAATGGGTAGATCCTTAGTAAAGGAACATTTCACCTCTCATCATCAATTCGCTTCTCTTCTCACCATAAAAATTCCCCATTTGTTCATGCTGATCGGTTTATTCTGCTTTGAAATATTCAAACATTTTGACACATCTCCTGTTGTCAATAGTATGTACACAAACATAAAACCTTGTGCCAGTTTTTTTTTTTCTTTCTGTTTGTTGCTACTTCTTTTGCATGAAAACATTTATAAACCAAGTTTCACCAAACATTTCTTTATTCGAAAGATTAACAAAGAAATCATGTGATCTATGCATGACATAATCAAATTTTTTTATTAATTGTCCGGAGCGGAGAAACCCAAATTTGCGTTTTTGATGCATTCGAATACTAAAATTACTTTTTTGATGCACTAGCGTAAATATTATAAAAAAGCGTCAAAAACGTAATAAGTATGTCTGCACGCGTGTCTATATTTGTACTTTAGTGTAATATAAAATATGTTCGCGCTTGGGTAACGCGATTATTATATGATACTCAATATTACCATATAAGCACGCAATAACGCCCAGTGGCGTTATTTCGGATCACGGCCTGCATTAAGCTAGTCGGGGCCGTAATTCGAAATTATACCCCTAATTATTTCGTGTTTATGTGCAAAGTTGTAAAATTTACAAATAATAATCTAAAAATAAAATTAATTTGGGTTTTGATTTTAAAAATAATTTTATAAAAGAATATTTTTAACCCGTGCCAGTGGTTAAGGATAACCAGTATGTTATATATAAAAAACCACACTAAGAAACGGAGATCAGATGTACTAAGTAAAAATGTTCAGAACTCCTAAAAACCTCACGAAAACTGAGATCAGGACCTGATACCCGTTCTGTATTATGTTATATAAAAAAATCATTTTATATAAAAACCTTTATTTATCTTAAAGCTGCACCCTAATCCTAACTTTTAATAAGAGTGGTTATTTCTAACCACTGGTACAGGTTATAATAATTCTTTATAAATATAGTATATAATTAATATTTATAAAATAATTTTCAATTACTAAATATAGTATATAAAATGCTTCATATTGTTATAGAATAAGGTTTATTATTTTATTATTTTTTTTAAGATAAGGTTTTGTTTTTATTTTTATTTATATATTAAAAATTTTTTAGAAAATTTTTTGAGAAATTTTATTATTTATTATTTTATAATTCAGCAGTTCTGTCTTTTTTATTTGGATATTCAAATTATTAGATAAATTACAACAAATTTTTTCTATAGCTTTATCAAACATCATTTCAAAAAACTTACCTAGTTTACATCTAGATGTAATCTGTTTCAATAAATCTTGGCCTATTGTTAGATCTCTAATTTACTAAAAACTTGATCTTTTTAATTACTAGCTAGCTTTTATACATCTAACTATTATCTAATAGCCAGGTTTAATTCTAACTAATTTAACTAATTAATCTATAATTAAATTAAAAAAACAAAAAAGATAAAACAAAATTAAAAATATATTTTAATATATATATAGAGTCAAAAATAATATATTATATAATTGCAAAATATTTATATATTTTTAATTAATTAATTATGTAAAAACTTTCTTATTATATTTTTATCTAAATTATCTCTTAGATTATTTTATAAGCATATTTGCTTATATTTTTTTAAAAACTTTTATTTTTTAATAAAATTTTAAATATTAATTTTAAGGGTATAATGATTTAGTGTGAAGTTGGCAAGTTGTTACATTCCTAAGTAGCAAAGCAAAAATTCGAATTCCACTGATAAAAATTTAAATTTACAGAATGTATTTAAAAAACTGTATTCTATTAGATCAGTATTTGTAACAGAGTTATATTAGTTTGTACTGAGAGGCAGTAAAATATTAGTGTAACATATGTTATATAAAACTCGAGTGAAGCTGCTGAGTAAAACTAATAGATTAGGATATAAAAGCTCACTTAGCAAAATTTGAGTAGAGAGGTAATATAGATCTTCAACAGTACTATAAAGAATAATCATCTGAAAGTAACAAGAACCGAATACTGTAGGACTAAAATATATAGCAAAACATTTCAATAACTAGGTTACTAAATAAATAAACAAAAGAAAAGGACCTAACTATAAATCTTTTAGAGCATTTGAATTGATAGTTTGAGATAACAAAAATATAGAAGATTATTAATATAGTAGAAGTTGATCTTTAGTATAGGTGGGCATATATAAGTATTATATAATTATAATATATATAATTTAATTATTTTGAACTAATTTAAGTAATTTTATAAATTATTAGGGTCAGAGTTAAGGTTAGGGTTTAAATTGGCTCAAATTAGTTAGGTTTTATATATTATAAACTTGTAATAATTTATATATGTCTACCTATACTAAAGAAGATCCATAGTAGATTTTAGGGTTTGGGTAAATTCTACAAAACGGAAAGTAAATAATAGTATAGTAGCAGCTTCAGCTCACAAGTACTTGTTTTTGAACTTAATATAAATTACCAAAAAGTTTAAATTAGCCAGATTGTGAATATGAAAAGCTTTAGTAATAATATTTCAAGAATAAAGTAGTTCTATAAAAAGTAGATTAAGTATCTAGAACTTTTCAACCAATATATATAATGGAGATATACTAATGATACAGGTAGAGTTGTATTACAGAAGATTTAAATAAATAACATCTGTAGTTAGGTTATAGATATAGCATATAGTACCACAAGGATAAAGAACCCTCCTATATAGTAGTGTGTATCTGCTTTAAAGTCCTAAGGGGCTTACACAGCAGTTCCTCTTTGGAGAGAATATCCTGATGGCATTAAGTTGATTAGAAGATTTAATTGGGTAACTCAAGTAATAGTAGGTTATAAGTACGGTATCTAATGTAGTTCATATAGATTACATATGCAAGACTGTTTAAATAGACAACCAAAAATTGTATATATGACTAGTATATATCCTCATTAATATAACAAAGTTAGAAGTAGCCCATATGATTGCCCTGGTATTCGATCCAAAGTTCAATAAAATGTGCCAGACCCCAAAGTGGTTACCTTAACATTAAAAAAAAAAGATATAGCATATAGTATAAAATCTATAATATAAAAGTTGTAGATAGATTATTTAAATTAGATACTAAAAGTATATATATAGCTGAATATACTCTCTAATGTAGAGATTTCTGTAAGGTATTAAGCTATGAGCTTCTTATTTAGCAATACTTAAATAAAGACCTTAGCTTCAAAGAGATTAGTTAAAAAAAATAAAAAAAGAATAAATATTAATTTTAGCAATATACATTTTAACCAAAAATATTTTTAAAGATCTATTTTATTAACTTAATTCAAAATTTTTAAATTAATTAAAATTTAAAGTTTATATAATACTATATTAAAGTTTATTATTAAAAAGAATTTATTTAGAAATAACTATAGGTAAAATTAATTAGCATATAGTTTTGTTTGATTATTTTTTAATAAAAATTTTTTTCATTAACTTTAGGGTTAAAGTGTTTATTATAGGTGCTTTTAGGCATCTCTGGCCAGAGATGCCTAGTTTATACATCTCTGACCTGATAGTTAATTAAAATGCTAATATATCACGTAACATACATTTTCATATAACACAATGATTACACAAAGCACAATTCTCCTGGATCAGTCTGATAAAGCAAAACAACAAAAAAATACGAAAAAATAAAAAAAAGTAGAAAATACAAAAAATGGCTATCTAAACCTATATTGGAGTACTAAGTAAAAATATCAAGAAGACAATTTTACTTATAATACTTTTCTTTGCTATAATCTTAATCCAAACTCTAACCCAAACCTTAACTTGATTAAAATTATTTACCTGGACATTATTTTGATTAGAGATGTATAAACTAAGCATTTCTGATCAGAGATGCCTATAATTTCTCATTTATCAGGCTATATAAAGTTAATTGTTTGGTTCTCATAACATAAAATGTAAAAAATGACTTGACAATACGGCTTTTAATTTTATTTTCAAAAAATTATATATATAAAAAACATATAAAATTTTTATATAGGTTTCTGAAAAAATCAAA